AGCAGCTCCCCTAACTACCACAGTTTCTCCGAGCACCAGTCTTCCTCCTCATTGTCCGGGGAACCAGGTGAAGCTGGAGAACAGCAGCGTCTGCAGCTGTCCATACAGCTGCAGACGCTGCTGTTCTCCAGCTTCACCTGGTTCCCCGGACAATGAGGAGGAAGACTGGTGCTCGGAGAAACTGTGGTAGTTAGGGGAGCTGCTGATGTAAAAAGAAAAAAACTAGACATTTTAGGAAAATCTGAATGGGTAAAAGAGAACGCAGCTAAATACTCTCTCGAAGGAAGTTTGTTGGTTGATATAGTAGGTAAATAGGCTAATTGTCTGTTTCTTTAGCCCTTGTGAAACTGGAAATCTAACCATCGAGATAAACTGTCTACTGTTGTGTGAGTTTCAGAGGTGCTGAATGGTAGATGATGTAACCTTTAGACAGGGCCACGCTGACTTTGACCTGTTTCCAGCTTTTACACAAAGCTGGACTTAAAGGTGGGGTAGGTAAGTTTGAGAAATCGGCTCGAGATACACATGTTATATTCCATGGAATGCTCTTAACATCCCGATAGCAATTAATATCTGAAGTGCTTTGACAAAAAATCCATTAAAAAATGGCATCTGTTGAAGCCGTAGTACTGTAAAAAGCACGACCAATCATCTGAGCCGGCCCGGCTAAAATAACTGGATGGCCTACCTGCCTGTCAGCCTTCCATCTGTGCACAAACTTATGTCGTGCCCTCATTGGTCATGTGCTCGTTCGTATGTGTTGGAGGAGGGGCTCTGTAAGGAAGAGGCAGATTTTTTCCGGCTGTGTATTTTCAAATTCTAGCGCACTCGAGCTGGTTTCTCCAAAATTACCTACCCCACCTTTAATGGTTGTGTTGCCTTTTATAAAAAAGACAAGACATGAAACGTACACAGACCTTCTCATCCAACTCTTTGCCAGACAGAAAATAAGCCTATTTCCTACACCATAAAGCTACTTATTAAGCGTTCATAACAAATACCAAAAAACATTAAAAGCTCAGACTTGATAGGTCAAACTAAAACACTGAATATGATAATGTGATCGCCTTGCACCAAGTCCTTATTTGATATCAGGCCATCTCATTGATGTATTCTGTATGTTTCTGGGATATCAATGAAACGTATAATTTATTTCCCATGGCATCAGAAAATGTTCAGTACCATAATGACGATAAAGCTGTAATTAGTTAAAAAAACTATACATTTCATTCCGTTTTTTAATGACAGAATAAAGATATATAACTAACCCCTTAGTCTATATGCATGGGAATTGAAGCCCTGATTTAATATGCAGAGTAGGGGCTGTCTACCATTCTTCAGTGGCATAATTAAACACACTTAATTCCTGAGTTGAATGCAGTCCTGACCAAACATCACCTTCAGTTAAACGCTCATTCTGCCTCTCCTCAACTTTACACCCAGCGGCCCCCTCCAGAGTGAAGCCCCCAGGGCAGCTACAGTTGTCACCTTCCTTCACCATGCCAGATGGACAGCTGCAGACGCTGCTGTTCTCCAGCTTCACCTGGTTCCCCGGACACTGAGGAGGAAGACTGGTGCTCGGAGGAACTGTGGTAGTCAGGGACTCTAAAGCTAATGTAAAAAATAAAAAGTTGTAAAAGGAACTGAAAGGGTAAAAGAGAGTGCAGCAAAAAACAAAAACTCACCTGTGCTCAGTGTGTTGCTGGGTGTAGGCTCACTGAGATTTCCAATGACATTTTCCATCACCTGATTCTAAAAAAAGTAGAAATCAACACATTGATTTGAACTAATCCACATCACATCCAATAAGAACATTTCTAGCATAAGAAGCTAAACACTCAAGGAAGGTTTCTCTGGTCACTGGCCTGGCTCTTGGTGTGCTCTGCCTCTGGGTGTTTAAAGACTTCATTTTCATTTTCCTCTGGGCTGTTCAGAGGCTCGGACACAGACAGAACTAGCAGCAGGGCTGACAGCAGAGTCCTGAGGAGAGGCATCACCTGAATCTGCTGAGGAAAAGGAAGAAACCCCTCAGAGTGTTTCATAAATCGGAAAAGTTCAGATGAGAGCAGTTACCTAAGGGGAAATAGTTTGGAGCTAAATTGGACTCAGATGATGAATTGTTTGCAGCTGCAGCCTTACAGTGCGTGTTCAGGCAGGCAGAACAACAAAGGATTAAGAGCACCCTGTCATTAAGTTAACATCACCCCCGTGTCTGTCTGCACAGAACAAAATAAACTTACAGCAGCTGCAACAGGATTTACATTAAGCACATTAAAATTGAAAATATGAAAGCAACAAGAGCGACAAGAAACGTTGTTAAACATATAAACACGCTACTTCCGTGGAACTAATTTATAGAGTTGGCTAATGATGCGATATCAGAGTAAGAGTTCAACAAACTGAGCCAACTCACCAGGGTTAGATCTACTCGCAGTAATGAACCGGGTTGTGTTGCAGGAGTTAGACGGAGACAGTTATCCAGATGCCAAAATGCGCCTCCTATCTTCTCCAGATGCGAGGAATCGTGCAGCCTGAAGCAGCTCGGTTTCAGTGTGGGGGGGCTGAGGCTGTAGCGGTAACTCCACATCCTGTCTGAAAACTCTGCACTTCCCATTCCTCAAATCCCAAACCAGCGCTAAAGTGGAGCAGCATCCAGGCCCGCAGGCGGATCACTGTCACCCTGCTGCCGCCTCTGAACCCTGACATGCGGGTCATAAAGCAGTCAGAGCCTCGGTCAGCCGGGGAACCAGGGAGGTCAGAGAGACTTCACATGCGAGTTCATTAGGTTAAAAGCCTATTACACCCTGCCTGATGGTGAACATCTGGGGGCTTCATGTTTGAGGGAAACGTTCCTTTCGGAAGTTCAGAGTATATTTACAAGAAGGCGTTTTACTAATTGCGGCTGCATGATTGCTTATTAAACACTAGTGAGTCATTTGTAGGCTATAGCCATTGTGCAGAAGTGCATTTTGCATCATTATGTGTGATCACATGACACACACTTTATATCTACTGTGAGGACAGAGATGGGAGAAAAAGGGAAAAGCCTTGTATTCTGCTGCAGCAGCCAACAACCTGGAATAATCTGCAAAAGTAATTTAACCATAATGGGATTTTTCCTTTCCTGTCGTTTAGGTTTTGATCCTGTGTTCCCTCAAGAGGGAGTTTCTCTCCCATATCACCC